GAATTTGCTATGAAGGATCTCGGCCCCCTACATCACTTCCTTGGCATCTCCGTCATACATACATCCACTGGAATTCATCTCTCTCAACGTCAATACATTCTTGACATCTTGTCTCGTGCTGGCATGCGCGATTGTCATCCAGTCACCACCCCTATTGACACCAAAGCAAAGCTCTCTTCCACCTCCGGGTCCTCTGTTGCCGATCCTTCTTTGTATCGTAGCTTAGCTGGCGCTCTCCAATATGCTACCCTCACTCGCCCTAACATTGCTTACGCGGTCCAACAAGCATGTCTCCATATGCACGATCCACGCGATCCACATCTTTCTCTCATCAAACATATTCTTCGATATCTCAAAGGCACCCTCGATCTTGGTCTTTCTTTGCATCGTACTTCTTCACACTCTCTTATTGCCTACTCCGATGCCGACTGGGCTGGATGCCCGGATACACGACGCTCTACATCCGGATTCTGCATGTATCTTGGGGACAATCTCATTTCATGGTCAGCACGATGACAGACCACTGTCTCACGTTCCAGTGCGGAAGCAGAATACAGGGCAGTTGCCACGGCCGTCTCAGAGTCATGTTGGGTACGGCAGCTCTTACAGGAACTTCAACGACCGATATCAAGTGCCACCATTGTCTATTGTGACAACGTCAGTGCTGTATACTTGTCCGCTAACCTTGTTCAACATCGTCGGACCAAACATATTGAACTGGATATTCACTTCGTTCGGGAGAAGGTCGCACTTGGCGACGTTCGCGTGTTACATGTGCCCTCCTCCTCTCAGTTTGCAGACATCTTCACAAAGGGCTTACCTACTGCTCTCTTTCAAGAGTTTCGCTCCAGTCTTCAGGTCGAGTCATCTCCCAGTTCAGACTGTGGGGGCGTGTTAGAGTCCAGGACACCGACGGCATCTCATCTTGGAGTACACACAAAGATATTACCAGATCAATAGCTTCCATGTATGGTTACGGGCTTGTGTTGTAATTAAACTCTGTAATCATCCCATGCTATAAATATATGAGGAGGCTTGCCGAGGCTGGCATTGAGCCGCCCGGTATTTTCCCTATTGCAGCATCGACGGCGCAGCTGGACCTGCGTGCTGCTTCGGCGGCGCGACGGGACCCCCGTGCTTCTACGGCCGCGCGGCGGGACATGCCGGCTGCGTTCGTGGCGAGGCGAGACATCTCTCGTGCTTCTGCTTCCATGCTCGCATCTCCCTGGTGGAAATCTCTCGACCCAGAACTCATGCTGGCCATGGCAGACGCAAGGGAACGATGATTAATGACTTGCTTGTTTTTGTGGATGAGGAGTTGAGGAGGAATGTGCAATCATCTTGGAGTAGTAGTATTTATAACCGAGTAGTAATACGCTCCTAAGTGGGAAATGATTTACGTTTTGATCGGTGTGAACATGTTTGGAATTTGGAGTGTGACGGGACACATGCTCAAATTGTACTGACGGTTATAAGTGTGACACTATTCCCAGAAGGCGTAACGTGGGCGGCACGTACGCCTTCTCGGCCGCGTACGTGGCGTTTGCACCATAGGATGCACCGCAATAGGCAATGTCAGCACACGTCTTATTCCAACAACCGTACACGCTCGTTATTACCATCGCACACACTTCTTTTAATTAGAATGTGTGTGCCCATCTAGCACACACATGTTGATCTATCTACCTGTTTCAGTTTGTTGTGGCTAATCGCAAACAGTTCATCCGTGTGAAGTGTATACCATCAATCGCAGACACTTTAATCCGGCTGACCCGTTTTTGTTCTGTTGCCTAATCGCAAACAGTTAATCCTTCTGAAGCATATGCTCTCAATTGCACACACCTTTATCTAGCTGCCTGTTTTTATTGTTCCTCCTCATCACAAACAGTTCATCTGAGTAAACAGTATGCTGTATATCGCACACGCCTTCATCTGGCTGCCCGTTTCTTTTGTTCCGCCTCATCGCAAACAGTTCATTGAACTGAACCGTATTCCCTGCATCGCACACGAAACTAAAATCTGAACCGTGTTTGATGGCTCCGCCACCGCAAACGTTTTGCACCTTTTTTGATGGTTCTTTCACACCACCGTTTGCGATTATTGCATCGCACACAGTTTTGTTGAAGGGTCTCTGATCGTAGTGTCGCGTTAGCAACATCCTGCAGTAGTGAATATAGACGACATTAATCCATTTAAGAACAAACAAAGTTTGGTCGATTCAGTATGATTGTTCTTCCAACATCATAATCCCGACGTTGTTTTAGGACTATCGTTACACTTAACGATATCCTAAGATCCAGAAAACTTGATCACCAACAACACTTGAGCTAGTCCTAGAGGCAAGACTAGGAACCTTTGGATTAATCGTTTATTATTCTACATGTGCATATGAGTTTTCCACTGAATCGCATATTGCAGGATCATAGCAGTTATAACATTGAATATAAACTCTTTAATTTTGAATATGGAAATATAATGATATAAATATTATTGCCTCTAGGGCATATTTCCAACAGTCTCCCACTTGCCGCCATAGCCGCCCTCCCCACCTCGTATTCCCTACGCTCGTTGGTCTCCTACTCCACAACCACTTCTTTGCATGCTCATACAAGAGGGTTTCGTCTGCCAACATGATCTTCGCATCCTCCGCATCCCATGGGATTTGCAACCTCTCCTTCTCAAGCTCAATCTCTCCAAATGTCTTGGCCTACTCTTGCTCCCATTTGACCCCGCATCTTTCTTATCCAACTCGATCTTCCCCCTCTCAATTTCTAGCTTCTTCTTCGCCCTCTTCCGGTCCAGATCCATCCTCTCCTTTTGCATCCAACATGAGTTTGTACCTCTCCTCTTTCTTGTTCTCCCTTGCCAAAAAAATGCCCGTCCATGTGGAGGACATTTTTGTAGCTGCGCCGTCATGGGAGGCCATTGCCTTCTCCCACTTGTTTCCCATGGCTTGCCGGTTATCCTTTGGCATGGTGTATCTTCCATTCTCGATGAAAATATTGTCCTCTTCACCGTCCAACCCAATTGATTGGTGGGACATTGAGCCATCATTCCTCTTCTTGCCGGCCTTGAGATCGGCCACAAGTTGTGTCCATTTGGCACTCCATTCAATATGATCCAACAATGGCTAAAAGCAAATGGATTCTTCTCCATCTCGTGATACAAAGTGGCCACCACCGCCATCTAGCAAACAAGGTATGTATGAGTAGGAGAATGCAAACACAAGAAGCATATGCAAATGATGACAAGATGAAGCAATTGAGCTTACATGAGTTGCCACTCCCATCCCACTTTGAGGGCGTGTGGTCACTTGTGAGTAGTAGTCGACGTACTTGTTCACTTCCTCTTGGATGATCCCCTGTCAATGTTGGAGAGATGCCACATTGCGGTTGGTCACGACGGGATGCGGCTCCACATATTCCGTTTGTTCGTGATACTCCTTCCAAATCTTCTCCCAATACTTGTTCCTCTTTAGATTGGTGCCGCATATTGGATCCATTGTTGTGGCCAACCAAGCTTTGACCAACAAGATGTCTTCAAAAGTTGAGAACGCCGGACCTCTTGCCTTCGTCGTCTTCCCCTTCTTCTTCTTGCTCGGATTGGGATCGGATGTTGTCCCAACTTCAAATGCGGTGTCCCCCCAATGCGGTGCCCCCCAATTCGTACTCCATTTGGGTCGGACCTTCATTGTCATTGATTATGTTCGACATGAATGCCTCGTAGATGATCATGGTTTGCAAGCATTTGTCATGTTCGAAATGAACTAGCGGTCTATGCAAAACATTGAACATGCTAGATGCAACTTTGATTGGACAGGAGCAATAATAACATACCACTCTTGTTGTGTCATTCCGTCGAACATGTCGTGGGCAGCCCGGGCGCCACCGGTGCTCGTGCTCATCCGCGCCCCAACGAGTTGTGGCGAGTGGCATACGTTCATCACCGGCATCTGCGTGGGCGGAAAGCTCTCCGCAATGTCCCAACCGGCTGTCAGATCCTCCTCTGTCCCAACGTGGTCCGACCGCGCAATCCACGGCGGCGGACGGATGGAGGGGGTGCGGGGTTCCGGGCGCGGCAGGGGGACATCTGCTTGTCCATGTCCGCACCTCTTTGTGACACCGCCGCCGCCGCTTCCCTCTCTCGCGCCGGCGTCGCCGCATCTTCCGGGCGATATTCTCTGCCTTGCACGACGGAGCCGTGGAAGGGACGTCGACGGACAAGGCGGACACAGTCTCCGTCGCAGCGGTCAGGGTCGGGCTGGACGACATCTAGGACGGCGGATGAGAATCGGTGATGAGGATGGGGAGTAAGGGTGGCAGACGGCGAGGGCTCGGGCACAGGAAAGATAGGAGGGAGGCGGGAGGAGGAGGAAGAGTTTGGTGGATTTAATGCGAATTATGGTGAGGTAGGGTTGTCGGGTCCATGTGACGGACGCGCCCGGGCGACCCCATACCCGCTTCATATTTGAGCTGGATATAAGGGGCGCCGGTCAGTCCGGGCGTTTAAGACCCGTTTAAGGAGCCCGTCCGGATTAAAATTTTAGAATCTGTCAGTGACCGGACAATCCGCCCGGATGTTTGAGACGGGTTTGAGATGGTCCGCTGTTAGTTGCTCTGATAAGCCGACACGAAACACAGCCACTAGCAAAGATGAACAATCAATAATCGTGATAAAATGAACAATAAAAAAGAGGACAAGTAGCAAAGAGAGAGCAAGCAAGAAAGGAAGTACAGAGAATGTTGTCACTTGCTCACGGAAGAACTGAAGAGCTCAAGGCACCACCACAACCTCATCTCCAAAAAGACAGAAAAACAGTAGGTGAATTACCTGATGCAAATATATCAAATCCTCCGTATTTTCATATCATTATAGTACTATATTAATAGAGCGACATACGAACAATAACTTAGCCTAGCTACCTTCCACGGGTACAGGGCTCGATCGAGTCGAACGATCGGATCGCGGGTCGCCGTCTAGGGAAAAATCCAAAACAAATCTCAGCGGTAGTGCTGCAGCAGCTGGTCGGCCTCCCGTACGCCGCTCAGGTAGGCCGCGTGCGTCGTCGAGTAGTGCGTCCGGTGCGTCGCCTCGCCCGCGAACAGCACGCGTAGCGGCGTCCGACCGGCCTCCTGTCCGCGTGGGAGCGGCTCTGCCATCCAATCGAGATCCTCGCCGCTTGACCCGACGGCGACGTAGCTGTAGGACCCGAGGAACAGCGGGTCCGTCGCCCACCCGCTCCTCTTGATTCTCTTCACCCTCCACCGTGGGGTCGGCCCCGCGCCGGCCCCGCCGCAGCGGCGAGGTGGGGCCGGGAGGAACGATTCCAACGTGGAGTGGACCGCGCGGATGACCTCGTCGTCGGGGAGCGACTCGAGGTGCGCGGCCTCCCGCCCGGCGAACCATGCGAGCGCCACGGTGGAGGCCGCGTGGACGGGGCAGACTGACTCGGTGCCGCGCATCCACCACGGGATCTTCGCCACGTCTCCGACGAAGGCCATGTGCAGGAACGGGAAAGCCGGCGAGGCCGCCCTGGCTAGCTGCTCGTCGCCGCCGTCCGGCTCCGGCGTCTCCACGGCCTCCAGGTCGATGAACAGCTTGTCCACGATACCGAATCCCAGCCGCGCGACGGCGTCACGCTTGAACTGTGGGAGCGGCGGGTCAGCCGTAGCGGACACGTCTTTGCCGATGCTCGCTTTTAGGACGCCGAGCGAGACCGTGAGGATGACGTGATCGGCGGTGAGCGTCGTCGTCGCCTCATCGGCGAAGTGGAGGCGCACGGCGGTTTCGCCCCAGTCGAGACGACGGAGGCGGAGGCCGAGGCGGACGGTGCCGGGCGGGAGCGCGGCGACGAGGTGCTCCACGACGCGGGTGTACCCACCGGGGATCGTGACGTGGTCGCCGGGGAAGTCGCTGTACTCGCCCTCGGCCACGAGGTCAAGGTCGCCGAGGTCGTTGGCGGAGGTGTCCGTGCGCTCCCGGTTGATGTGCATGCCGATCAGCGCCTCCTCGATCTCCTCCTGCTCCTTGCTCCCGCCCGGGCGTGCCGCCTGGTACGCTCGCAGCCCCCGGCGCAGGTACTCCTCCACACCCCCTCCGCCGACAGCCTCACCGGCACGCGCGGCCTCCATCATGCCCCTGTACAGCTCCTCGATCGGCTTGGCCACCGTGTCCGCGTCGACGAGGTCGCCGCCCTCGGCGACAGTCAGGACGCTGTCAGGGAACCCGTCCATGCGCTCGTAAGGGAGGTCCGCGGCCTCCTGCCGGAGCGCGCCTGCTTCACGGGCCAGCGCGTACACGGGGCTCCCGACGATGCCCTGCACCCACGTAGCGCCCATCTCGAGACGATGGCCGGCGAACTCGGACGTGAATACCCGGCCGCCAGTGCGGCAACCAGCCTCCACCACCACCACCTCGAACTTGTCCCGGCCCGCGCCGCATAGCTGCTGCGCCGCCGAGAGTCCGGCTATGCCCGCGCCCACTATGGCAATCCTCGGCTTCTTCTCAATCATCCTCGCCAGCCGCGCGCGCATCTCGCCGACGGTTTCGCACTGGTCAGTTGTCACTAGTGTTTTACCTTCCCCAGTCCCCGCCGGAGGGTGCAAAGCCAGGAGCACACGCCGCTCAACAAAGGAGAGGAGCAGAATAAGGACAGTTCTTTTGATGGCTTTTTTCCCTACCGAATAATCAAAAATATTTTCCAAATGATAAGTACCACACGACGTGGCACGAATTAACGCGGTCCTGACGTTTTCTATAACTAAAATTGTCAAAAAAAAATTAAAGTTGTCATTCTCACGTAACTGAATTTGTCATCAAAAAACGTCAGGGCAACTTATTCCAGCTTATATTTTTCTAAAGCCCACTAATCCAGTCTTAATTAATAGGCTCCTAAAAAATAATTTTGGTTGGGCTCCTAGAATAATAGGGTAACTTATTCGAGCTTATTTTACAAGCCAGCAAAAGAACTGGTCCTAAAAAGCATAGGCTCGCCAACACTAAGAGCCTGTTTGTTTGGGCTTTTGCTTCTACCTTTGCAGGTTTTTCACTTTGACCAAAAAGTCATAAAAGCTCCGACATAGGTGTTTTTAGAACTTTTATGGATTTTAATGAATCAATATAACAATATTTAACTCCAAAAACCATAAAAGCCCCAAAAGCATCTATTTAGGAGTTTTTATGGCTTTTCGATCAAGATGGATAAGCTGTAAAGGCAGAAGCAAAAGCCCAAACAAACAGGGCCTAAGAGCAACTCCAACTTGAGATTTGGTCCGCTTTTGTTCTTTTGTGTCGGTGTGTCTGCTCCTTTCCGTGACTGGGTTGGCTATGCGCCCGACACGTAGACCGACATGCAATTATTTTTTCCTTTTTGTACGTACATATGAAAACAATTGCCCAAAATTCACATAATTCAAACAAATACAAATATCTCATAGTTTCACGACCAAATAATATCTCATAGTTTACAGGTCAAATAAAATTTAAATTGTCACAAATACATTTGACATGGAAAAAAGGCCCATACATCTATTGGTTGCCAGCATGAGCCTACGTATACTCAACCAAATCATCTTGTAGTTGAATGTGAGATTTCCAATCACTCATTTGATGATCAAAGTCGGTGAACGGTGCAACGTTGCCGCTCCTTCATCCTCAGACACAACATTTTCACCCTGTAATTGGAACACTTGGCCGTAGATTTCATCCAGACGCTCATCCTCTACGATCATGTTGTGCATGATCACACAAGTAGTTATCACCTCACACAACTTTTCGTGCTCCAAGTTCTAGCAGGATACCAAACGATGCCCCATCGAGATTGAAGAACACCAAAAGCACGCTTCACATCCTTTCTAGCACTCTCTTGTGCTTGGGAAAATCTCTTCCTCTTCTCTCCTATAGAGCTGGGGATTGTCTTGTGTCTTCACAAGAGTAGTCCACTGAGGATAGATACCATTAGCTAGGTAGTATCCTTTGTTGTAATGGTGGCCATTGATCTCAACATTGACCTCTAGTCAGTTGCCTTCTGCAGGCCTTGCGAACATAGGAGAGCGATGAAGCACGTTGATGTTATTGTGAGAGCCAGCCATGCCGAAGGAGTGCTAAATCCAAAGATATTGTGGAGCCACAGCCTCAAGTATGACAGTGCAAGCTTTCACACGGACCCTATATTGTCCTTGCCAAGCAAAAGGGAAGTTCTTCCACTTCAAGTGCATACAATCTATGCTACCAAGGATCCCCGGAAAGCCCCTACTGCCATTGATCACCAACAACCGAGTTGTATCTACAGCAGCTGCCTCTCTCAAGTACTCCAGACCAAACACTGCTACCACAGCCTTGCAGAACCTATACATGCATTCTAGGCACGTGGACTTGCTCATGCCGACGTACTCATCAATAAGATCACTGGGTATTCCATATGCAAGCATCCGAATAGCTGCACTGCATTTCTGATCAGAGCAGAAGTCAACCTTTCCAAGGGCATCCTTCTTGCACTAGAAATGCTTATCGTATGCCACCACCCCCTCCCGGATACGATTGGACACATGTCTAGCCATCCGAAAGTGGCGTCGGAATAGGTTGTGTTTGAAAAGTGGGTCAGCGGACTCGAAATAGTCCTGCCAGAGTAGGCAATGGTCGCTCTCTCTGTTGCGATTTAGCGCTGGAGTATGCCCCGGGATCAAGCTCCTAAACATCGTCCACTTCCTACTAATGTGGTCATGGATGGCCAAAGCAACAACAACAATGTCCTCATCATCGGATGAAGAATCACCCAAATTGCAAATGAAATTGTTGAAAAGTTACTCGTCGCTGGAGTCCATTTGTACCTTCCGGGCATGGTGGGAGAAGCCGGCCGGTGAAGAGCCTCGCGCCTCTCTATGACCAGGTAGCAGGCATGTCGACATGGAGGCGTTGTGGCGGTGTCCGAAGAGCGAGGTAGACGCGCAAGGCGGTGCTACCGGCAAGGGGAGGCTGCGGGGTGTCGTCAACGCTAGAGTCCTGTGATGGCGGCGAAAACAGTCCACCAAACGCGAGAGTATGGGGTCGTCGAGGGGTGACGTGTTCTTGGGGAAGGTATATGGGTATGGGCGGCTGGCCTGGGCACCGGAACTGGGCGGCGGCGGCGAGGAGAGGTTGTAGGGTGTGTGTTGGTCGATGGGAGGAAGGGAAAATGGCCAATGTGCCACCGACTTGCGGGCCAGGGGGACAAGGGCGGGCATCACATGCGTCCACTGCTTGTCCGCGCCGACACAAGCACGACCCAAATTTGGGCATGAAATGGGTCGCACGCAGACAAAAAGCGGACGCTGGTCCATTTGCATCGACGCATTGGGCGCCTTTTGTGTCTGTTTTGACCCAAACGAACATGCGTAGATAGTTTGGGTTGGCATGTTGGAGTGGCTCTAAGAAGCGAAGTCAGGGTGACTTCCTTGCACAAAAACAGATGCCAAAGGAAAGAAATCAGACTCGCATGCCCCAGCCTCAACCTCGTCCTCGTGTCCTTGGCTCGTTTGTCATCCGTGTCTCCACTGAGAGTAGTCGACGCCGCGGTTATGACAACGATGGCACGTGGAGCTTGTCAGCTGGAGTACCACGATGTAATGGAACTTGCAGATGTGCATCAAGCGGAGGGCAGTGAGATGGTCGAGGAATGTTGGTGACACGCCGACGAAGCTGTTGGAAATATGCCCTAGAGGCAATAATAAAGATGTTATTATCTTATTTCCTTATTCATGGTAAATGTTTATTATCCATGCTAGAATTATATTAACCGGAAACTTAAATACATGTGTGGATACATAAACAACATCGTGTCCCTAGTGAGCCTCTACTAGACTAGCTCGTTGATCAAAGATGGTTAAGGCTAGCTAACCGTAGACATGAGTTGTCATTTCATAACGAGATCACATCATTAGGAGAATTATGTGATGGACATACCCAACCGTAAGCTTAGCATTAGATCGTATCACTTAGTTTAACTGCTACAACTTTCTTCATGTCAAGTATGTGTTTCTTACACCATGAGATTGTGCCACTCCCTAACACCGAAAGAATGCTTTGTGGGTAATCAAACGTCACCTCGTAACTAGGTGATCATAAAGGTGTTATTCAGGAATCTTCAAAGGTATTTGTTGGGTTGCATGGATCGAGACTGTGATTTTTAACTCCGTGTGACAGAGAGATATCTCTATGCTCTCTCGGTAATATAACATCATAAGAAGTTTGCAATCATGTGACCAATGAGTCTAGTTGATAACCCACAAGTATAGGGGATTGCAACAGTTTTCGAGGGTAGAGTATTCAACCCAAATTTATAGATTCGACACAAGGGGAGCCAAAGAATATTCCCAAGTATTAGCAGTTGAGTTGTCAATTCAACCACACCTGGAAACTTAATATTTGTAGCAAAGTGTTTAGTAGCAAAGTAATATGATAGTAGTGGTAACGGTAGCAAAAGTAATATTTTTGGTTTTATAGTGATTGTAACAGTAGCAACGGAAAAGTAAATAAGCGAAGAACAATATAGAAAAAGCTCGTAGGCATTGGATCGGTGATGGGGAATTATGTCGGATGCGATCAATCATGCAATAGTTATAACATAGGGTGACACAGAACTAGCTCCAGTTCATCAATGTAATGTAGGCATGTATTCCGAATATAGTCATACGTGCTTATGGAAAAGAACTTGCATGACATATTTTGTCCTAACCTCCCGTGGCAGCGGGGTCCTATTCGAAACTAAGGGATATTAAGGTCTCCTTTTAATAGAGTACGTGACCAAATCATTAACACTTAGTGAATACATGAACTCCTCAAACTACGGTCATCACGGTAAGTATCCCGATTATTGTCACTTCGGGGTTAACGGATCATAACACATAATAGGTAACTATAGACTTGCAAGATAGGATCAATAACTCACATATATTCATGAAAACATAATATGTTCAAATTTGAAATCATGGCACTCGGGCCCTAGTGAAAAGCATTAAGCATAGCAAAGTCATAGCAACATCAATCTCAGAACATAGTGGATACTAGGGATCAAACCCTAAAAAACTAACTCGATAACATGATAAATCTCATCCAACCCATCACCATCCAGCAAGCCCATGATGGAATTACTCACGCACGGCAGTGAGCATCATGAAATTGGTGATGGAGGAAGGTTGATGATGACGATGGCGACGGATTCCCCTCTCCGGAGCCCCGAACGGACTCCAGATCAGCCCCTCGAGAGAGTTTAGGGCTTGGCGATGGCTTCGTATCGTAAAACGCGATGAATCCCTCTTTTTGATTTTTTTTCTCCCCGAACACGAATATATGGAGTTGAAGTTGAGGTCGGTGGAGCGGCAGGGGGGCCACGAGGCAGGGGGGCGCGCCCAGGGGGTAGGCGCGCCCCCACCCTCGTGGACAGGGTGTGGGCCCCCTGACATGGATTCTTCTTCTAGTATTTTTTATATATTCCAAAAACAATATCCCTTGATTTTCATGTCATTCCGGGAACTTTTATTTCTGCACAAAAATAACA